ACCCCCTCTTTTTTGGAGTTTAAACACACCAGCATTAATGTTAAAGTAGAGATTATAAGACTGACGAAACAGACTCTTTGTGGCAGTAAGATATTATATTACAAACAGGACCTAAGGCTATGCAAGGCAAAGGTTAAGTCAGGCCTTACAAACCCCCAAATCTCATTAAATGGTTTTTTTTAATTACCTTGGTATAATGTGGCTTACTTTCCAACCTGGCTGGTACAGCATCACATGACAGACAGCAGACCCCTTATCTTAACTCAAGCATTCCTTTCTACCAACTCCAAGTCTTTAAACAAAACTTCATTTCTTTAACCAATTACAAATCAAAGAATCTCTGAACCCACCTATAAGCCTCTGCTTCGAGATGTCCTGCCTTTTTGAGCCAAGCCAATGTATACTGTCTATTGATTTCTGATTTTACCTGCATTTCCTTTCTTCCTAAAATGTATAAAACCACACTGTAACCCGGCCACCTATGGTGTACTTTCTCAGGACTTCTTAACATGATACTTCTTGGTCCATGGCCACTCATATGGGCTCAGAATAAACCTGTTTAAATTATTTTATAGAATTTGTCGGTTTTTTTCCATTAACATAATGATTGTTGATTTCAGTTTTCATGAAGCTCCTTCACTTATCTTGTCAGCCAGTTGTTTCCCTAGCCAGACTCCAGATCTTGCTATTACCAGTAATTGTAACCCCTTTATAATTTCAGTTTTAAGCTTCACACTCTGACTAGCACATCCTAGCTTTCTAGCTCACTCACCTACCCCTCTGTTCCTTATCCCCCTCTTGTTTTCTGTATCCAGTACAGATTGCATAGTCTATCATTATAACCATTGCTCTGTATAATTCTTCAGCTCCCTTGACTATTCTCTTTATTCATTGTACTTGACTCATAAAGTACTGATGGAGTACAACTTTGTGCCTCTTCTGCACCTGTAACTTCACAGGTGCAGAATAGACCAAGTTGATTTGCTGGAGGAAAATACATAATTGATTTCACTTTATATTCATTGTAATTACCTTGAGGTGAGTCTGTAGTGCTCCCCTATAATCCTGATTGTTCTAGTCCATTCTTCTACTCCCCTATATGACACTTTTGCACATTCTTCTCTCTCCTCACTCTCTTAATCGCCTTTGTTAGTTTCTTTTACATTTCTTTGATCTCTTAGTAGTGCCTGACCACAATCCTTGGGCCCTTTCATTTTTCAGTCTACTCTTTTTTTTTTTTTTTTTGAGACA